TACAAAAACAAACCAGTCTGCACGGCTCATTTAGTTCCTCACACCCTAACCCTAACCCACAATTAGTGTTTGTTGCATGGTTACACATAAACAGCCAATCCAAATTTGGCGAATGATGACATTCAACTGTCAGATGTCATCATCAGGTGTATTCATAAAACACAATTAATTAATTAAGCAGTTGCACATACAAAGAAAACCCTGTTGTGAGTCATTGTGTAAGACTTAGTCATCTGAAGTACTGATAGTTTAAAATAAAAATACAACCCAATGCAGAAGTCCTACAATCCAAACGTTTGTGACACAGGCGTTTTAAAATGTTGTTGACGGGGTGTGAATCAATTAATCGAAGCAACGGATTGTGATGTTGGTTTGAATTATTGTGGAAAAGTGTTTCCCATATTTAAACCCCTCCCCATAATAACTGTGGTGCACAAAATACTAAAAACCTCTTTTATTTTAATGCAAAGAGATTAAGATTGAGGTAACACACAGGTTACTAATGTAGTATTTACTGCAGGGTTCTTATATTGCTTTGCATTGCATCATACAGGTTTTTGTTTTTTTCCTGTCACTTAGTTTCTTCAACAACCTAATATGACACATTCCTTCAACAACCTAATATGACACATTCCTTCATTTCTAATACACAGACTTTACAACTGAGGGGGTCGTGGCCCGTGACCAGAGGCACAACTGACAGCAGGGGAGTGTGCATGAACAGGACCAAACGGGTGGGGATTTAAAACTGCTTTTAAAAAACAAACAACAATAAAATATTGTTTTGCATGTTGTAAACGAGGTTGCAAACACAAAGTCTGACATTTCCTTGATTGCAACCAAGTTATTATTCACCACAGACACTAGCCACGTACATACATATATGCAAATAGCTTATTTAGCAAGGCTATCATAAACTGAGCGATTATTTAATATAATTGGTGTTTAAATGAGACTGCACATACGTTAGCTATCATATGAGCTATATTTGTGTTTAGCTATATATTTCTGCTAAACGTCATGATGTATTTACTTGAACTGTCAGATGATGCAATCTGCAGTCTGTTTTAGTAATGCTAGCTAGCTGCTAGCCGTTCTACTGTTAGCATAGTATAAGAGTTTCTGTGAGACGTTATTTATGACACGAACACATTTCACAGCGTTCTTACCCCTGAACTTCGTCTTTAGTCATGTTGAGCTATATTCGTGGAGAATGAGGACGAAATGTTTAACGGCTGTCAGTCAGAAAGAAGCACCACATCAGCTGTTCAAAGCATGGACGTGCACAGGAAGGAAGGACTTGTTTTGATGTAGCACCAAATACCGGATACTCCGTCTAGAAACGACTCACTGAATCATAGTTCCGGCCACCTATTTTTTCAGTCCTGCACATGGGTTAGACAAAATAAGGGAACGGAAAAGTGTTTGTTTGGTTTGTAAATTGTTTCAAACTACTTCCGTGATCACTGATGAAAGAATTACTGTAGTAAAAATAGCAAGAAAGAATTGTGTTTTTTTGTTTTGATGTATGCCAATTATATCTGAAGTCCTTGCTTCTCTTTGTAAATTTCTCTTTATCATTTCATATAAATCCCCTTTCTTTTCTTTGATAATGCCGTTATTGGTTTATAGCATGTGTGTATTCTCTGCTAGATGTTGCATCTTTTTAATGTGTGTTAGAAAATGGCTGCTACGATATTTGATAAAATGATGCCCATTACTTTGAAGGCATAAGCAATTTGTTTAAAAATAAAGTGTGCTTGCTAAGACATATTTGAATGAGAAACCAGACATAGCTTTTGGGAAGGTTAAATATTATGTGTACACTGTTTGTGCATAGATATGTAAACCTTTATAAACTATGATAAACTGTCTAAGCGTGCATGCAAACCATGGAAGTTAATAAAGTGGTACATTATTATATGGGTTTTCTATTTCATATATAGACACACATGACTAAATCAATAGGAAGGGATATTGCTACACAAACAGCTTGTCAAAAATGATATGATGTGGTCTTAATTATTTTGATTAGAAGGTTCCACCATGTGTGGTCATCTAGTAGTTATTATGTATCCACATGTCACAAACACCACCATGTGTGGTCATCTAGTAGTTATTATATATCCACATGCACCCCTAAAAAGTGTCACTGCATGAAATTAGTTTCACGCCTTTGGTCGAGCTCTCTGAGTGCATCCAGGTATGCAGTGACCTTTGCAGGAATGGCTGAGCACAGTGAGTGATGGTGGGTTGAATACAGTGGGGGGTCATCAAAGCTTTTCTCAGGCTGTTGGCCACAGGAGCTCCTGATGCAGGAAACAGCCTTCCTGCTGCTCACTTTCCAACCAAAACAATGCAACCATTGGAGGAGCAGGTCGCTGCCCACAGGAACCTGTGGTATTAGTGTTCCTTTCATCCTTGTTTGCAATAGCCCATTTAAAGGTATATCTGCATTTACTGTCACTGTTAATTTTATACAAATCTCAACAGTAAAACCTACATCAACACGTCCTGAACAATGGTCTCAAGTCGCGGTTTGAAACTGGCCCACTGGTAATGAATCACCAATAGAAAGTATTTCCTGTCCATTTCAACAGCTTTGCCCTTTAACCCACAAAGCAAACAAGACACTCTTCCCTACTTCAACATACACATATGAGTTTGTTTTTACTATAAGATGTCAGAGAGGTTAGATTTTGCACAGGAAGTTTATATTGAGGCTTAGCAACAGATGAAAACATTATTATGTCACAAAAACCTATTCCATCTCAAATAAACACTTCTACAAGTTGATGTATAGATTTACAGTATGGATGTTTATGTGTGTTTTGTTGAGCAGTAAACCTTTTCTCACCACACAAAGAGAGCGAAAGCTTTAATAATGAATGAAAGAGCACCTTCTTGTCCCTGAGGGTTTATTCCCAAAGGGGCCCTGAGTACTGTTTGTGCACTCAAGTGGACCCTTTGGATATTTAGGATAAAAGCTTTATGTTTTGTCTTGGTGACAATGGTTAAGTATTCCGAAAATGGTATGCAATATAACAATAGGAACCAAAAAATCGATCCATAAAACAGTTGAAAACAAGATATCATTCTCAGGAACAGTAATAAAAGCATATCCATTTTACTGTTTGTTTTAACCATGTTCTTCTTTTGGGCTTTTCCTGTTTTTCCAGCCTCTGTATGTCTAAGTCATTACTTTTGTTTGTATTGAAGTTTGCGACAGTTCGTGATAATGCAACATTTTAACAATTTTTCTACATTTATGATAGCTCACTGTTATTTGGTTAAATAGTTTCCTATATTATCAGTTTACTGGGAAACTAACCATGCACATCAGGTAACATTTCTGTATAGTAGATGATCTGATCCTGAAGCTATCCTGATGCGGTGGAGGAATAAGACCCCATTTACACGGGAACGCAAACGCAAACGAACCGAATTCGATTTAAAAAAAGTCTTCTGATCACACGGATACGGCTCAATAAACGTGTCCCTTCACACGAGACCGCTCGACCCGCTGGAGACGCTGTAGTAAATATGCCGGGCCTGTAAGTGGCGCTGTACTTCCGCCACAAAATACACCAAAAGCAGCGAAGAAGACCCCCGAGCATGGTTGCCATGGTTGCCCTTCTGTTTATTCTCCGCGGTGGATTTAGCAACATGTAGTTCATGTAGTTCTCCATGTCCACTTGTTGCTGATGGTTGTGGTAGAGGAGCTGTAGATTTGGGTGAGCAGCAGAGGTGGGCTGAGGTGGGGCTATGGCTTCATCGTTATCAGGAAAATTATCGTATAGGACGTACACACAGAGCCGTTTGGCCCCCCAGAGCGTTCCCTCCGCAGATCTATCCTTGGGACCCGTTTCCGCGGTTCTGTTACGGCCTTGTGTGAACGAACGGGCTATACAAAAGAGAAAAGTAGCGGATACAACCCGTTTCGTTCCCGTGTAAACAGCACCTAAGCAGCAGCATCTGAGCACTTGATGTGTTAATCTGCTCTGTCTCTGCACAGACTGAGGCAGTGCGACTCTCATGCTAATTCTGAATTATCTGGGAACATTTCCAACTGAAAACAGCATCTATTGTTTTACGCTGTTTCCCTGTGAGAGACCAGAGCCACAAATACCCTTTAACCTTGTGGCCCGATGGGGGCAATTCACACCTTTTTTACATGTAAAGAAATGGAAATGTCACTCCATTGGAGTCTTGAATGGATGCCGGCATTACATTGTACAACAGCCATTTGACGACTTAATTCTCCTTGACATCTTTTGTTTTCAGCTTCCTTTGGTCTGAAACTTGAACATCACCGCGTCACCAGTTCACCAAGATTACATCTCGTTTATATTTAAGAAAGTAGAGCACACAGAAAGATACATGTCAGCATGTGTGCTCAAAAGTTGTTATCTTTATGCCTCATCTTGACATCTTTGTAATTTCGGCTGATTTATTGCGTATGATATATTGCATTAGTGCTCAACAAAGACTTTGTGTCTGCCTATTTGCATATTTAGAATATATAACCCGAGTCCTGAATACTATTATTTTGTGTTTTGTTAACTTGGAAATAGCTAAGTTGACCCACTGACCTGCTCTTTTAAAATGAGTAAGCATAACACTTGTATACAAGCCTAATAAAAAGGAGGAAGTATATCTTGCAAAATGAAGAGAAAATTAGTCAAAGGAGAACTTAACATGCTATTTACTCTGTTAAGGAGCCATATGGGTGCTAATTATAACCAAGAATTCTGAGCTTTTGTGTCATGGCTGCTTAAGATGTAAAAGTGCACAGATGTTCCTGCAATTACAGGGCCTGCCTGCTCAGTCCTCCTCCTGCTTTCTAGCCAGATCAGGTGGAGACATTTGTGTTAAGAGACCCACCCTCCCCACCCCCCAAACACACCCCATCCCCTCCCTCCAACACACACCCCATCCCCCACCCCTGCCCTGAGGGAAAGAGGAGTTGGTTTGAGGTGAAAATGCAAACAACACAGTCATAATGAAGCAGTGGATTTTTTATTTTTTACATAAAAAAGCAGCATGCAGTTTCTTTTTTTCTAACAAAACTTCCAGTGTGAATGACAGCAATAAATAATAGCTTTCAGAAAATCACACAACTTAAGTGCGAGCACACAAATGCTACAAACTATATACAGGTTTCCAAGAGCAGCTACCATCCATGAAAACATAGTAGGGCATTGCATGCCTGAGCTTTGATACAGCAGCACAGATTGTAAAGATGGAAACGGGGAAAATGGACCTCGATTGTAAAGCTGCATGACTGGAAATGAGGCCCTGCCTGCGGACACAGTCTTCTCTGAGGAACATAAAGGTTGCACAAATGCAAATAAAAAAAACACAAGACACAATTGCAGTAAAAAAGGCAAAACTATTTAAAAAGTATAAAAAAACAACTATTTTTTTACAATTGTACAAAATGTAGTAAGTTCTTTCAAATCAAAGCTTCGTTTTTCTCTCCCTCCTGAGAGTTTCAAGTCACAGAGTTTTTTGTTAACTTGACAAAACGCTTGAGGACTCCGACTCAGTGGATATTGAGGAAATTGGCCCTCTCTTTTTGGTCATGAGTGTCACCTTTTGACTGGATCTGCTGCCGGCTGTCAGTGCACTCTTGGCTGATTTCTTGAACTTTACTCCCAGGAAAGCATAGAGGATGGGGTTTAAGCAGCAGTGAAAGTAAGCCAGCGCCTCTGTGATAGAAATCCACATCTCCACCGCTTGTTGCAGCACACAGGAGGGAGTCACCACGTGCAGCATCATCAGGTTGTCCAGGAAGATACCAACACAGTAGGGCAGCCAGCAGGTGAAAAAACAAAGGATGAGGATGACCGTGGTCTTCAGCGCTTTCTTCTTCAGCGCCTGGCCCTTGGTGCCTTGCGACAGCTTGGCGATGATGATGCAGTAGCAGATGAGGATGACCAGCCCGGGCAGAACAAAGCCCACCAGGATGTGCTGAAAGCGGAAAACAACTGTCCATATGATGCTGGATTCCTGCGGGTAGATGCGCTGGCAGATGATCCTGGAGTCTCCAGTCTCTATGCTATCGTTGAAAAAGTGGATGTTGGACGACCCTGTGTGCACCCTGGCAAATACAAGGTCAGGTACAGTCAGCACAGCAGCAGGCAGCCACACTCCCACATAGATCACTCTGCTCGCAAGAAGCTTCCTTGTGGCTTGACTGTTGGTGGCCCGCACAACTGCCAAGTATCTGTCCAGGCTGATGAAGGCCAAGATCAACACGCTGCTGTACAGGTTCACCGTGTAGATCATGTGCACTGACACACAGAGGAAACCGCCAAAGTACCAGGAGCTGGCTGCATCCACGGCCCAGAAGGGCAGCGTGAGGACGAACAGGAGGTCAGCCACGGAGAGATGGAGCCGATACTTGTCCGTCATCGTTTTGACCTTTTTCTGGTAGCCCATGACAACTACCACTAATCCATTGCCAATGACTCCCAGGACGAATATAATTCCGTAAACGGTCGGCAGGAAGATCTTGCTGAAGTTGCTGCTGAGCGCTCGGCCACATGGCTCATCTCCAAAGTCTCCAAAGTCTCCAAAGTCTCCAGACTCCTCTGAAAAGTTGTCAGTACTGTTCTCAAAAAACGCATAGGTCACATCCATCTGAAAGAAAAAGGAATTGTAAAGTTAGAAAACAGTTGAGATACATTTAGTTGTTAACAATAAATGTATCTTTTAAAGAAAATGTGCAGCTTGTTTCCTAAGTTGTCTGAAAAGTTTAAAATGTACTTTTTCTAAATACATTTTACCAATCAAAGTATTTTCTTGATATTAGAAAATAATACAATAAGTACTTAAAGTATATAATATCACTGTTAACAATGGTGAAAAGGATAAAATATATTCACATTATTTTTCCACTATTTTTTATTTTCTAGCAAAAATGGTTTTATCTGCTACTTCTCTAAAGTTGTGTAAAAAGTTAGAATTTAACTTATTTATTTTAGTTATTTTGCCAATAAAAGTGTTTATTTAAAATGACAAAACAATACAATTAGTAGGCCTATTACTAGTTAATTACACCCCTGTTTACACGGGTGCTAAATTATCCAATATATTTAGATTTACATTTTTTTCTAAAACAGTTTCAAGTTAACCGACCAAACTGCCATATCTTAATTTAAACAGTAAAAACAAATGAAGAAACTCACGTCTTGGTCCATGTTTACCAGTCGTTGAAAAGAGACGTTAGAACCAGTGTGTGTTTGTGTGTGTGCAGCAGGGCTATCCGTTGTCTATCTTAATGCAAACCAATATATAGGCTTGCCTTCGGTGCGCTGGCCCATCCCCCCCCCCCACGGAGGCGGGGCTTAGAGACGCACGAGTCTCCAAAAGAGGTTCCACTATAAAACCAACTACTCTGTTTGTGGTGAGGGCGTCACTGAGTGAAAGTTTTACCCTAACAACCGTGTCCAATATTTTGTCACCTTCGAAAAAGACGTTGAACCAAAAAAAAGAGAGGTTTGTGTGGGCACTGTGACAATTATTTAATGTCATAAGGCTTAACTTATTCTTGAATATATTTCTGGTGACTTTTGCACTCTGTAAAAACTAAGACTTCCTTCATTTTAATTTTTTTTTGCAATAGGAAGTATCAATGTACAACCAAGAACTAACCTTTACTATGAAACACTTTGAAAACCTGATATACAAACATGTAATTGAATCAACACCTTCATTACAGAGACACCATAAAGGAAAAACATCACTATCACATGCACTTCAAAAAGTAAGCACAGTAACATATCATAAGACAGATTTCACATCAGTCAGTGATAATATGATTATTATCCTATTATTAAGTGCACCTACCCAGAATATATTACAATGTTGTTGGAATGTAACAATATCATATTCTCAAGTACTGTAAAGTACAATTTTGAAGTAGCCTAATTGTACTTTACATGAGTATTATATTTTAGTAATAATAAGTAGAGTAATAAATATAATTTAGAAAGCACTTCTCTAGGTACTCAAAGTTGCTTTACAAGAACAATTCACAAAACAAATAAAGATGAATTTAAGTAAATGTTATGCAACTATACTTCAACTTCATTTGGAAGCCAATATTCTCCACTTCCACTGTATTTATCTGACATCTTAATTACAGATAGAGGTGATTAGCTAATACAAACATATAAATCAACCAAGAAACAAAAATTAACTATTTCATATTTGGTACTTTTACTCAAGTTAAACATTGGAGTATTGCTTCCTTCTCTGCTGTAATGTCACCACAGCAGATGAACGTGCTGTAGAGTTCAACAAGGACACAATTTTCAGCCATCCGTCAAGGAGAGTTGTTGGAAAAATTAGAGCAATTTTAGGATTACACCTGCTTTGCTGGTTGTATATCATCAGCTCAGCAACCTCACACTTCGCACCTCCCTCCTCATTCTGCATGAAGCGTGCACTGACATTTAGATTGGTCGTTCAGGGTCTTCTCAGCCTCATAATTCTCTCTACAAATCACTTTATAACTGTCTGAGGACAGTTTTCATCAGCAGAGGTTGGAATCCGTCCTCACCTTCATACACACCCTGTCTCCGCTCAAGTGCTGTTATGTCTGCGCTGCCAACTGCTTAATGACCCCCAGTGGATTTGAAAAGAACCCCACACCCTCTAATGTGGCATTTCTATCAAACGGCTATCGAGTCTCAGAGTGCAGAACGTTATTTTTTTTCACAGCTTTACCAACCCTCTCTGATTTCAGTTGGTGATGACAGACCACACCAAACCCTCCGCCCTGCTCTCAGATGGAGCTGACGGTTGTCTGAAACCGAATCTCCTCCATGTGGCATGCAAATGCTGCCTCGTGTCTTTGATATATGAGAGCATTGATAGATTCAATGAGTCAATGTGCATCATTGATTCCATTGATGTTTGCCCCTTGTGTTGAAGAGGGATTCTTAGAGATGCAGGACAACACAACATTCAAAAAACATCAGGACAACAGCACATTTTTACAGAGCAAAACATTTATTTTCCATATATGCATATATGTTGCAATAGCAGATTTGTTCTTAGATTTATCTGATGGAACACACATGTTGTGCATATCAGCATTCAATCCATTTCTCAACTGGCCGTATCGTACTATATCAGAGGTCAGTTAAGGTGAAGATGCTCTACAGCTTTTTAACTGTCATTGGCATTTCAACAACAGGAACACTTCACAGTTACATTTCAAAACAACAGTGTGTTGTGATGAAAAGTTACCCCAGGGTGCTTAGAAAATGTTTATCAGAAGGTAGTCGTCATGGCTGAATCATAAAAAAACCCTACTGTTATTAAAAGTTGGAATGGAAACCACAGCCATTTGTGTTGTGACGGTACTCAGCATCTCTGAAAATGACTAACTAACACTGTGTTCGCACAAAATATGATCTGTTTTGAAACAAATACATATTTTACTCTCGACTGGGCGATTTAAAAGTGTTGTTTTGTTACTCTGGTACTTATTGACAAAAGTTATTCTATCTGTAGAAACTCCAAGAGGGGTTTTTCTTTTGACCAAACTCTACACTAAAATCCCCTGGTGTGAAGGAAACTGTTCTTCATTTTCCTTCAGAATAAGAGTAGTTAGCACGTGAAGCATCTGCAGGAAACCCAGGAACACTTGCACAGTTTGAGTTACAATCTGTTGAATATGCAGTGTTGAAACATCACACCAACCTGATCTCTGAGTGGAAAAAATGCCCTCTAATTATTACTCATATACAATAAGAACACACTAAAGACTGAATAATCTAATAATAAGCAGTAATACAGCAGCATTCACAGACAGATGTTTGCAGACTAATCCTGTGTGTGTTGTCTTCAGATCCCCCTGCAGTAGAACTCCTGAGGAGAGGAACAGGAGGAATCTGCCGCTCAGAGAAAGGCCACTGTATTGGTATGATGCTCTTATCTTCTTCATTCAGACACACACTTGTTATCTCTCTGCCAGCACAACTCCTGGATTTCTTCTGAATAACATACACTATTTTGTTTTCTACATTCCCCAAATCCCTTTCACTTTTGCTGACTCACTTTGTGAAGTTTTTTTTTCTTATTCTTTACCTTTTGAGAAGTATTTCCTCTGAAGCATTCATACATTTTTCCTTTACACTTACCATTTCGCTCAAAGGCTGTTTCTAAATTCAGCGTGATGCTTGGAGTTGTGAAGTCTTTGAAATGGTGCAGTTGCATGGTATTGGATCACTATGCTTTCCTTACATGAAACATATATCTGTGAGGCAAAAAGTTCACATATTTACAACTGAACTTGACTTAGATTTAGCATTAATTAACAAAGAAATGTCTTATTTATTTCTTATTAAGGTATTTAAAGAAGGTCCTAAGAGTGCATGAATCGAAATTCAGTGAATATTTATAGTTTTTGGGGAAAATGCTGAGATTGGAGATATTATGTACAAATTAAGGCCCAGAATCATATTTATACATTTGTACAGACATATTGATTGGTGGAAGAAAAGTTAGGAATGATATTCAGAATCAGAAATTCTTTATTTGTCCCACAACGGGGATATGTTATTGATGATATTCATACTTCCAGTGCAAGATTTGTGCCCTGTATTGTAGCTTTTTATGTAAAATCAGTGTTTTTCAATAAATCTGCTTCTTGCCATTTACCTTTCATCATCTGTGGAGTGTGTGTGTACATGGCATGCAGCTTATCATTTTCTAGTACATTAACATCAGAGATTTCACTCCTCATGATAAATAATGCCTTTTTCCCCCCTCTGGATTCAGGATATCTGCAGCCTCCACTGTCAGCGTGAGGATTCAGATTGCTATCGGCCAGGAATACAAAAGATCTGTGAGCTACTTAGAATACAAATCACAAAAAGTGTGAACGGCAGCGAAGGGGGCTCTTCAGTGAAGAATGGCTATTGAAATGAGGCAGAAGAATGTCAGAGAGATAAAGAGAAGAATGAGCAGTCAACAACTCCAAGCCCTCCAGTTCCAACTCATCCCGGCCCCCTGAGCAAGTCAGCACGGGATAATGTTTCATAATGATACCTCCGCTCAAATATCACCTTCACTTTTTCTTCTTTTTTTTCATTCTCTGCATACTAAAACATATCCAGTCTTTTATGTTGGAGCTGACTCTGGGTGTTGGCCATAAATGCACAAAAGGTTTTTGGGGTAACTTAAATACCTTTAATCTCTTGTCTGAGCTCTGAGAAGTGCTTTGTGTATTTCTGCTACACACAGAAGAAAAGTGTGTGTACTTGACAATGCATTGTAGACATAGCTGTATTCCTCTTATTCACATGCATTTTGATTTAAAAACATCCTCTACTTATTAAAGTAGTGTTTGTTCCATCTCGTATTCCACCCCTTCCCCAGTGGTGGAAAGTAACTAAGTACATTACTCAAGTATTGTACTTAAGTACTTTATTGACATATTTGTATTTGTACTAGTATTTCCATTTAATGCTACTTTATATGCTACATTTCAGAGGCAAATATCCTACTTTTACTCCACTGCATTTATTCGTATTGTTACTTGTACAAATAAAAACACATGATATGCTGATATGGTAATATGCAGTACTGTACTAATAATCTAACCATTACGAAATTATTTTGCACGAATAAAAACAGGATAAAAAGAATAACCATAATAATACAATACTGTGAAAAGATCCATTCTGCAAACTGAGTAATTATACTTTTGATACTTGAAGTACGTTTAGCTGATAATACTTCTGTTTTAAATAATTCTGAAATGAGCCATTGTGCGCATAGAGTACTTTTACTCTTTTACTTAAAAAACATATTGATGCTAATACTTTTACTCAAGTAAAATGCTGGACTTTTACTTGTAGTGGATGACTTGAAGACTGTAGTATTTGTACTTTTACTTAGGATCTCAGTACTTGGCATTTAAAGTTTTTTTTTTTTTAAATCTCTATGGAAAGATGTGTAATTCCAGTACAGGGCTGAAGTGTGGAATTAATTGTTTTTAAATGACTTCAGAAGATCTGAATGTTCCTGCATTTTTCCTCATATACTTCATGATCGTTATTTGTGATGGAATGCATAACGTCTTTATCTATCTATCAGCCAAGGTTTTATCAGGGTGCTTTTGTTTTTATATCTCTCCCTCACATGGATGGTCTGTTCAGGGAAGAAGGCTGGTGATGGTGGGGGTGTATGGGGGTGGGGGGGGGGGGCAATGTGAGAGATTCATCCTTCATTCTCCCGTCCTTTTGTTTCCC